TAATCATTGTTGTCAATAATTTCGCCTGCTTTATTATTTTGGTAAATGGTATGTATGTACACGGTGAAAACGCCTGCTTTCTCGCGATTAACTGGATGGAGTCGTTTTAAAGGGGTTTAATTATTACTGCTAATTATTAAGGTTCATTCGAGCATTCACTCATTTATCTATTTATTTGTTTATTTATTTATTTATTTATATGTTTATTTATTTATTTATTTATATGTTTATTTATTAATTTTGTTTATTTACCTTTTTTTCGTTTATTCATTCCTTTATTAATCCATTCATTCATTTTACATATCCATGTATCTATTTATCTATTTGTATGTTTATTTATATATTATCTCTATTATAAGTGATTGAATAACTATTCTGACCAATTGTTAAGCTTAACTATTTATTTGTTAATTATTCCTGTGACAGTTCATTGGATGGAGTCGTTCGGTGTGTATGAATTAATAGTTAATATAAACATTTATATACTTATCATTGGTTAACATTAGCGTAATAATTTTCAAATTTTCTTCTTTCCGTCCAGTTAATAAGACTGAGTGGCTGTAAAGAAGTTTTGTTATTTTATAATTTTATCAGTGCATAAGCAAAGGATATTGAATTTAAGAAGAAAATAATTTCAATGTCATTTTCGACTATTTACTTTTTTGTGTAATCCTATATCACTTTATCATATTTTGCTTTATTCACTTTTCCTTAATTTCGTTCAGATTAATTTTACTGGACTGAAAAGTCGGTACAACGAAACCTGTAATGATAACTAATTGTTGTTAATATATCTCTAATAAATCTTTATCTGACATATTAAAGAAAAAATAAACAAAAAATATTAAAAATGTCACGCAAGCAGTCTGAAAGAGGCGGGCTGATTTGGCCTATAATGACAGCAAATGTCACCAATTTATGGCTAAGAACCGAGGCAGGGCAGCCATTAGCCCTTGCACTTAATAACGGCAACAGTTTACTTACGGCTCATTTACTCTCAAACACTAATTAAGAGACCTTATCTGTTACCTTGTTATCACCACAAAACTAACCAACGTCTGCTCTCTCTCTCTCTCTGTCTCTCCCTTCCTCTCTCTATATCCTTCTCTGTATTCGCTCTACACTTCTTTCCTATTCTTTTTCTTTTCAACTCCTTTTCTTTGCCTATCCTTGCTTTTTTTTCTTCTTCTTCTTTTTTTCTTATTGCTTCGTACTCTTATGCACTCTTACCTTGCTTGTTCATTCCCTTCGTAGTCTCATACTCAGCTCCACTTGTTTTTTTTTTTCTCTTTTCCTCACACAGACTTCCCTTCGTTTTACCTATTTCTTTTGCTTCTCTTCCTTCCCCTTTCCCTCCCTTCCTCCCTCCCCAAATACCATAACGATTCCCTCCCCTTTCCCTCCCTCCCTCCCTCCCTCCCCAAATACCACCCCTATTCCCTCCCTTCCCTTCCCTTTCCCTCCCTTCCCTTCCCTTTCCCTCCCTCCCTCCCTCCCCAAATACCACCCCTATTCCCTCCCTTCCCTTCCCTTTCCCTCCCTTCCCTTCCCTTTCCCTCCCTCCCTCCCTCCCCAAATACCACCCCGACTCCCTCCCTTCCTTCCCCTTCCCCTCCCTCCCTCCCTCCCTCCCTCCCTCCCTCCCTCCCTCCCTCCCTCCCCAAAGGCCACCCCGATTCCCTCTCCTTTTCCTCCCTCCCTCCCTCCCCAAATACCTCTATTGCCTCCCTTCCCTCCCCTTTACCTCCCTCCCTCCCTCCCTCCCCAAATACCACCCCGACTCCCTCCCTTCCTTCCCCTTCCCCTTTCTCCCTCCCTCCCTTCCCCTACCCCTTTCTCCCTCCCTCCCTCCCCTTCCTCTCCCTCCCTCCCTCCCTCCCTCCCTCCCTCTCTTCCCTCCCCTTCCCTCCCTCTCTTCCCTCCCCTTCCCTCCCTCTCTTCCCTCCCCTTCCCTCCCTCCCTCCCTCCCTCCCTCCCCTCTCTTCCCTCCCCTTCCCTCCCTCTCTTCCCTCCCCTTCCCTCCCTCTCTTCCCTTCCCTTTCCTCCCTCCTCCCTCCACACGCCCACACAGACTCTCGGCGACGACATATATTGCAAAGGAAAACGTACATGTAGAGGTAGTTCAAATAGCCAATGTGTATATAGCGTGTGTCCTGTGTGTGTGTGTGTTGAGTGCATTGTAGGTGAAAGTGAAGCATGTTTTTTTTGTGTGTTTCTATGTTGTTGTTGTTATTGTTATTGTTGTTATTGTTTTTGATATTGTTATTTTTATTATTGTTGTTGTTATTGTTATTGTTATTGTTGTTGTTTTAAGTGAAATTTCTAAAATATGTAAAACAATAAACGAAAAATAAGATATATGCGAAGGTAATGAAGTAAGACACCAATCTCTCGCAGCTTGAAAAAACAAAAAAACAAAAAAACATAAGAATAACCTAAAACATAGTTCACTTCCAACTAAAAATGAACAAATAAGTAAAATAAAAAAAACACATTCCTTCTTGTTTTAAAAAAATCCTGTAATTCAAAAAAACAAAAAACATACACACACAAAAATCCCAAAACACAATTCACTCGCAACTCCCCCCCTCCCCCCAAAAAAAAAAGAAGTAAAAAAAATATAACTAATTAAATAAATAAACAAATAACTAAAAACAAACAAAACAAAAATAAATAACTAAATAACAACTCAACAAAACGAAAAGAAAAAGCCAGAAAAAGCCAAAAAAAAAACAAAAATCCAAGACACACAATTCCTCGCCCGAAGGAAGCGAGCTCTCGGGCCCCCCTTGGAAACGAGACGATGGCTTGCATAATAGTCTTCCTAATTCTCCGCCATTATAATTCATATCGACAGAGCAGAGGACTTCTCTCCGAAGACTGCGAGGTTTAAGGGACACGTCGGGGAAGAGTTTAAGACGTAAAACACTTTAAGAAAAAGGTTATAGGAAGGAGGAAGGAGAGAGGAAGGAGGAGAAAGAAAGAAGAAAAAAAGAGAAAAAAAGAAGAAAAAAGATTATTGGGATGTGGAAAAGAGGAGAGTTTAAGACGTTGTAAAACCCTTTAAGAAGATTATAGGAAAGGAGGAGGAGAAAGAAAGAAGAAAAAAAAGAAAGAAAAAAAAGAAAAAGGATTATTGGGATGTGAAAAAGAGGAGAGTTTAAGACGTTGTAAAACCCTTTAAGAAGAAGGTTATAGGAAGAAGAGGAAGGAGGAAGGAAAGAGGAGAAAGAAAGAAGAAAGAGAGAGAGAAAAAGAAATTATTAAGAGGTGTAAAAGAGAAGAGTTCAAGACGTTGTAAAACCCTTTAAGAAGAAGAAGAAGAAGAGGAAGGAGGAGGAGAAAGAAAGAAGAAAGAAAAAGAAAAAAGAAAAGAAAAAGATTATTAAGATGTGAAAAAGGAAAAAGTTTAAGATGTTGTAAAACCTTTTCAGAAGAAGGCTATAGGAAGAAGAAGAGAGAAGAAAAAAGGAAAAAAATTAAGATGTGGAAAATAGAAGAGTTTAGAACGTTGTAAAAACCTTTAAGAAGAAGGTTATAGGAAGAAGAAGAAGAAGAAGAAGAAGAAGAAGAAGAGGAAGGAGGAAGGAAAGAGGAGAAAGAAAGAAGAAAGAGAAAAAAAAGAAATTATTAAGAGGTGAAAAAGAGAAAAGTTTAAGATGTTGTAAAACCCTTTAAGAAAAAAGTTATAGGAAGAAGAAGGAGGAGGAAGGAAGGAGGAGAAAGAAAAAGAAAAAGATTATTGGGATGTGGAAAATAGAAGAGTTTAGAACGTTGTAAAAACCTTTAAGAAGAAGGTTATAGGAAGAAGAAGAAGAAGAAGAAGAAGGAGAAATAAAAAAGAAAAAAGGAAAAAAATTAAGATGTGAAAAAGAGAAGAGTTTAAGACGTTGTAAAACCCTTTAAGAAGAAGGTTAAAGGAAGAAGAAGAAGAAGGAGGAGGAGAAATAAAAAAGAAAAAGAGGAGGAAGGAGGAGAAAGAAAGAAGAAAGAGAGAGAAAAAAAAAGATTATTAAGAGGTGAAAAAGAGAAAAGTTTAAGACGTTGTAAAACCCTTTAAGAAAAAGGTTAAAGGAAGAAGAAGGAGGAAGAAGGAGGAGAAATAAAGAAGAAAGAAAAAGAAAAAAGAAAAGAAAAAGATTATTGGAATATGAAAAAGAGAAAAGTTTAAGACGTTGTAAAACCCTTTAAGAAAAAGGTTAAAGGAAGAAGAGGAAATAAAGAAGAAGGAGAAAAAGAAGAAAAGAAAAAGATTATTGGGATGTGAAAAAGAGAGAAAAATATTTTCCAGCCTCGAAGGAGAGAAAGGTTTATAGCATGGAGGGAAATTTGCGTGATAAACCTCCAGAGGGAAAGTCAATAAACAGAGTCTCCCCGTTTTAGAATATTAAGGGAATCACTCTTTCACGCTCTTTAGACGCACGAGAAAGAGGGGGGTGGGGGATGGGGAGAGGGGGGGGAAGGATCCAGCTCCCATCGCAATTAAAGCAATGTTGTAAATGTCCCTCCGTGAAGACCTTTCGGTATAACTTATTATATTTCCTATTTTTTCGTTAATGTACTCTTTACCAGATTTTATTTTTGTCTTTTCTTCATCTTCATCATCTTTTTCGTTTTCTGTTTCTGTTTCTTTTTTTTCTTCGTTTTCTTCTTCTTCTTCTTCTTCTTCTTCTTCTTCTTCTTCCTCTTCCTCTTCCTCTTCTTCTAAATCCTAATGATTTGGGTTCACGGAATTAATCCCAAGCTCTTCGAATCTCTTCCCACACATAGAAATTACTAACCTTTCTAACATCAAACACAATCCCACCATTCACAATACAAACGAACAAACAAACAATAGATTATAAATAAACAAAGTTAATTAACTGACCAATCAACAAACAGATAAATAGATTAATCAATTATCTAATAAACTAATATATCAGAAAAAAAATGAAAATAAAACAAACGACATAAAAAGGAAAAGAAGCTAAAACGATTTTTCTTTTTTTACTTTCCAGACATGGAGCTGAAAAACGTTTACGAACGTTACCAGGCGAGGCTAAGAAACGCCGCCTTCTTGGGCGTCGTCACCATAGGCGCCTTGGCTTCCTGCTGCCTGCTGGGGGCTATGCTGAACGGTCCTCTGGTATGTACGGGGTGTATGCTGGTATTTTAACACTTTTCTCTGGTGTGTGTGTGTGTGTGTGGAGTGTTATTCTGGTATTTTAACACTGTTCTCAGGGGGGGAGTGGTATTCTGGTATTTTAACACTGTTCTCAGGGGGGGAGTGGTATTCTGGTATTTTAGCACTGTTCTCAGGGGGGGTGTATGTGTATGTGTGTTTGTGTGGAGTGGTATTCTGGTATTTTAACACTGTTCTCAGGGTGGGGGGGGGTGTATGTGTGTGTGTGTCTGTGTGGAGTGGTATGCTGGTATTTTAACACTTTTCTCAGGTGTGTGTGTGTGTGTGTGTGTGGAGTGGTATTCTGGTATTTTAGCATGGATCTCAGATCTGTATGGAGTGGTACTGTGGTATTTTGATACTTTTCTCAGGTGTGTGTGGAGTGGTATTCTGGTATGTTAGCATGGATCTCAGATCTGTATGGAGTGGTACTGTGGTATTTTGATACTTTTCTCAGGTGTGTGTGGAGTGGTATTATGGTATTCTAACATTATTCTCAGGTGTGTATGGAGTGGTACTGTGGTATTTTAACATGATTCTCTGGTCTGTCTGGAGTCGTATTTCTATATTGCGGGTCTGTGAGATTTCAGTATTATGGAAAGGTGGTATCTGAAGATTTTTGGTATTGTAGAAGTATGTTCGTTTGTATATAATTGTATATCATATCTGGCAATGCTGAATCTGGCTTAATGATTTAGAATGACTGTGTGTGTGTGTGTGTGTGTATACGCACACACACACACACACACACACACACACACACACACACACACACACACACACACACGCACACACACACACACACACACACACACACACACACACACACACACACACACACACACACACACACACACACACACACACACACACACATACACACACACACACACACACACACACACACACACACATATCTCTCTCTATATCTATCTATCTTTCTATCTATCTATATATATATATATATATATATATATAGAGAGAGAGAGAGAGAGAGAGAGAGAGAGAGAGAGAGAGAGATAGATATAGATATAGTTATATATACATACATACAACCACGCACAGAAAGAGAGAGAGAGAGAGAGAGACGATGTGCGAGTGTGTGTATGTGTGTGAGAGAGAGAGAGAGAAGAGAGCAAGTGACGGAGAGAGAGCGAGAGAGAGAGATACAGAGGGAGATACAGAGAGAAAGAGATAGAGAGAGAGAGAGAGAGATAAAGAGAGAGAGAGATAAAGAGAGATAAAGCGGGAGCAAGAGAGAGAGAGAGAGACACAGTGAGAGAGAGAGAGAGAAAGAGAGATAAAGCGAGATCAAGAGCGAGAGAGAGAGAGAGAGAGAGCGAGAGAGAGAGAGAGAGAGAGAGAGAGAGAGAGAGAGAGAGAGAGAGAGGATATCACCATATCATCATCTTGATAACTGAAAAAAACAGAAATGATACCACCAAAAATAAGGAAAAAATAATTTAAAAAGTCTTTGAAACGAAAAAAAGAGAAAAAAATAGAGCATCGTGGAGCAAAGTCCGGCGGCGAAGTTTTTTTTTTTCGTTTTTTTTTCATTTTTTTTTTCTTGCCTCATTTCGTCGTTTCAGAAAAAAAGATATGCTGATGATACTCTTATATCGTAAATGAATAATATGAGAATTCTATAATAATAATGATAATAATGATAATGATAATAATAATAATAATAATAATAATAGTGATAGTATTAATAATAGTAATAATAATGGTAATGGTAATGGTAATGATAATGATAATGATAATGATAATAATAATGATAATGATAGTGATTATGATTATGATTATGATTATGATAATAATGATGATAGTAATGAAAATGATAATGGTTATAATAATAATAATAATAAAATAAACAAATAACAGTTCTTAAAGAAAGGACAAAAAGGAAAGAGAAGAACTGAATGAACAGTGATAATGACATTGATAGTAATAATAATGACGATAAAGATGCCAGTATTAATAGCAATAATGATGTTGATAATAAGGATAATAACCCTAAGAATAATGTAAAGGACAATGATAATGATAGTAATAAGGATAATAGCAATAATTAATGGCAATATCCACAATAGAAATGATAGCAATGATAATGATGTGATGATGATGATTATAGTAATATAATAATGATAACTGGCATGACTAAAACCATTAATGAGGAAAATTAAAATAGTAAAAAGGAAACTAAAATGGAACTCACACCAAATTAATAGCTCAAAGACACGGAGGGTAAAAAAAAACACATCAGGAAGCGCATCTCGAGGCAAATTCAAGCTCCCTTCCTTTCCTCTTGGCAAAAAAGCTATTACTAGTATTTATGCTACTTCTGACACTATTACTGGTACTACTATGGATAATATAGAGAATATGAACAAGAAATAAATAAAAATGAAAGCATATTAAGCGCTCAAAGGTTAACCGATATCCGAAACACACACAAAAAAAACACATCAGGAAGCGCAGCCCTCGGCGAGTTCAAACTCCTTTCCTTTTCTCTTGGCGAAATAAATAAATAAATAAATATTGCAACTACTTATGCACTACTGCTACTATCATTGGTACAAAGGATAAGACTGACAAGCAGAACAAGAAACTTAGAAACAAACCGATATCCGACGCACGAAAAAAAATCTGGAAGCCTACTTGAAAAAAAAAAAAGTTGTTACTACTGCGTTACTTCGGTTACTATTATTCGTATTAGATACTACTGAGGATAATACTGATAAAAATAACAAGATACTTAGAATGACTAAATGAACAATTAAAGATAGATTAAACATTCAAAGGGTAACCGATACCCGACCCCCTACCCACCCACCCAAATAAAAAACAAAATAAAAACGGGAAGCGCAACCCGCGGGAAATTCAAATTCCCTTCCTTTCCCTCGTTGCATTTTCATCTCTTGGGGAAACTCGCCACTCTCCCGCCGGCGTAAATGCTACTCCGAGCCTCTTCCCGCGAGATAATTGGATGCTCAGGGTAAAGAAGACGAGAGTAATGGCGGATGAATTACAGGCCGCCCGGAGCAGCTGACGGCGGCGGGCGGCTTCGGAGGCGCTTGGATGGAGCCTCCTGTCGCGGGGACGGTGGCTGCGTGCGTGCTTGATTGCTTGATTCTCTCTCTCTCAATCTCTCTCTTTCTCTCTTTCTCCTTCTCTTTCTCTTTCTCTTTCTCTTTCTCTTCTCTCTCTCTCTCTCTCTCTCTCTCTCTCTCTCTCTCTCTCTCTCTCTCTCTCTCTTCTCTTTCTCTTTCTCTTTCTCTCTCTCTCTATCTCTCTCTCTCTCTCTCTCTCTCTCTCTCTCTCTCCTCTCTCTCTCTCTCTCTCTCTCTCTCTCTCTCTCTCTCTCGCTCGCTCGTTCTGTGTGTGTGTGTGTGTGTGTGTGCGCGTGAGTGTGTATGTGTGTGAGCGTGTGTGTGTGAGCGTGTGTGTGTGTGTGTGTGTGTGTGTGTGTGTGTGTGTGTGTGTGTGTGTGTGTGTGTGTGTGTGTGTGTGTGTGTGTGTGTGTGGGTGTGTGTGGGTGTGGGTGTGGGTGTGTGAGTGTGTGTGCGTGTGCGTGTCCGTGTACGTGCGTGCTTGTTACTCAGTCTCGGGCCATTCATTTTAATGGCTACAGGAAAGTGGTGTTTTCGCTGGAACTTCCCTTTTTTTAATTTCCCTTTTATTCTCTGCCGACATTTTTTTCCTGTTGTTATCTCCACCGCTTTCATCGTTTCGGATTTTTTTCTTTAGTTATTCCCTCCAATGCTTCGTCGTTTTCTTGATTATGTTGGCACTTTAAAAACAACGTAAGGAAGAAACTGATGCGTCTAGGGGAAAAAAACAGGGGAAGAAAGATGGCCGCTCTAAAAGGCAAAGGAAGCCGCTCTAAAAGTCATTTAAAGTGAAGCATTGATATGTTATAAGCTAATGCGTCTAGGGAAAAAAACAGTATTACAAGGGAAGAAAGATGGCCGCTCTAAAAGGCATTTAAAGTGAAGCATTGATATATTACAAGCTGATGCGTCTAGCGAAAAACAGTATTACAGTAGAAAAAAGATGGCTGCTCTAAAAGGCATTTAAAGTGAAGCATTGATATGTTAAGGGGAAAAGGGCAGCGCTGTAGGGGAAGATTTCACCTGGAAGAGGGGGAAATCGCTGCGGTTTAGGGGAATAAGAATTCTCCTAAATTAAAATAAGAATATTGGCCCTTAAAAAAAAATAAACAACGTAAGGGAGAAACTGATGCGTCTAGGGGAAAAACAGCGTTACAGGGGAAGAAAGATGGCCGCTCTAAAAGGCATTTAAAGTGAAGCATTGATATGTTAAGGGGAAAGGGCAGCGCTGTAGGGGAAGATTTCACCTGAAAGAGGGGGAAATCACTGAGATTTAGGGAAATAAGAATTCCTCTAAATAATAAGAATATTGGCTCTTTTAAAAATAACGTGAGGGAGAAACTGATGCGTCTAGGGGGGAAATAGTGTTACAGGGGAAGAAAGATGGCCGCTCTAAAAGTCATTTAAAGTGAAGCATTGATATGTTATAATCTGACGCGTCTAGGGGAAAAACATCGTTACAGGGGAAGAAAGATAGCCGCTCTAAAAGTCGTTTAAAATGAAGCATAATGTTATAATCTGACGCGTCTAGGGGAAAAACAGCCGCTAGCCGCTCTAAAAGGCATTTAAAGCGAAACATTTGGGGAAAAGGGCAGCGCTGTAGGGGAAGATTTCACTTGAAAGAGGGAGAAATCACTGAGATTTAGGGGAATAAGAATAAAAAGAAGAAGAAAAAATCCCAGTGTTAGGGTAGATTGATCAGAAGCTGAATGAAAACAAAGAAAGAGAAAGAGTATAAGACATATATAAAGAGAGACGAAAATTACGGGATAACGGAAAGATATAAAAAACAGACGAGAACAAAAATAAGAAAATAACAAAACGGGGAGAAAGGAAACAAATGAAAGAGAG